CTCCTCAAATACGAATAGAATGTATGTGTTGATGGAAAAAGGAAACTTCATTGCAAATCACTCATAACCATTCTGTACCTCATTAAAGTTGATATACGTAAACACAAGAAAGTATTGAGAGATGGTGATTATTGTGATGCGGAAGTAAGCAACCCAAACGTGAGTTGATGAGACCGGGGAAAGCTTACACATTGTTCACAGGAAAGAACAGCCCAAAAGAAATTAAATTGTTACCTGAAATCAAATTTCAATAGCGTTAAATCCACACGACTGAAAAAACGAGACGAAACACGTCTGCCCAACGATAGCAAAAAACCGATTGAAGTAAAGCTTCACTTTTTGCTAAGAGCCTTTCAAGCCCAGAGAACCCCATGTGATGTTATCGCCGTGCGATTTTTTTCCACCATGTTTTTCACGCGATTTTTTTTCTTCCTGTCCTCATCGGGATTCGATCCGTCCTTATCGGGATTCGATCCCGATGTGAAACGTCGTGAAACGTCCCGATGTGAGGTGAAACGTCCGATACATTGTTTAACATCTGAACCTCCGCCAGCCTGGTTTGCTGGGTGCAGTCCTGGAAAATGGAAATCACAGATGTGCTGATTGAGGTTGAAGTAATGACGGTATGGTCCACTGTTGCACCAAAGACAATATTCCGCTCTGTTCTGAAATTTCAGGAAAGGATGGGAATACTTTTGCCTCTCCTTTTTAATGCGAGATAGAATCTTTGCGTTGTAACTAGAGGAATTTTGTCACAATGTAAGAACTTCTTATTACAAAAAATGACTATACCACATGTTTCAGTGATTTTTCTTGTGCTGAAAAGTTACCTACGCACCAGCGTATGAGCACAGATAAAGAAGAAACGCTCGATTGCGAAAATTCTCACAACATGGCATTCTAATTGATTTTCAAGGAGAGCTTGAACACAATCAAAGATGTATACCCTAAAACAATCGATGCTTCCAAAATCGGATTGTCGCCAAAGTTCCAGAAACTCGAAAGAAAAAAATGTTCCTTAGTACTCGAAATTATTTTCGCGCACTACAAGCATGTGATGGCCTAGGGCTTGTCATCAAAATGGGGACTCATGAGGAGAGATTCATGTCTCTCCTCATGAATCTCTCCTCATGAGGTGGAGGAGAGATTCATGTCTCCTAAGCATAAGCGAAGCCACTTGACATGAGAAGACGAAATAAATATCAAAACACATTCTTGCTGGATCGTAACAAAGTAACTGTCCTATGTATATCACAGACTGAAATACTATACCATGTAAGAAAATTATGCTAAATCAAGTTGGGATTGCCTTCAGCTAACATTTGTACAGGTATGGTCCTAATGTCTTCAGTACTTGTGAACTAGAAATTCTTACCACTTATGGTTTGGGTAAGTGTTTTGAAGGTGTATGCGGGGAAAGTTTTTACTGCCAGTGGTTGTTGAGCCTTTCAACATTCCCGGTATGGGCTAGAATATCCCACTTAACATAAATTCTGTGCGGAGAATGATCTATGGACGGAGACGGTAAGATATATCCTGCTAATGCGACAATTAGCTGAAATGATGATTCCGTCAAGCAGGAGTTTATAAAGCCTTTCGATATCAGATCTGGAGATCTCCATTTGTGGTAAATAATTTGGTAATGAGAGGGATTTTGCGACTATGGGAACTGTTGCTTATGGGGAAATGGTGCATCTACTACTTTCTTCCCTCCTAAGTACCCCTATGTTATGAGCCTTTATGTGATTGCCGTTGCTTAATGTTTTTTGGATGAGAACGAGGCATTAGATATGGGGGACAGGCACAGATAGCGCTTCATGGCTTTCTTGTTCCTGCTACGAGTTTAAGCAGGAAGATCTCGGACTTCCGGTAACATTTGGGAACTTGTTAGGAGGAAGTGGATAAAACTGGGATTCTCATGCCATTGAGGAGGTTTGGATGCAAGAGTAGACTTGTCAGTATCTGGAGATGTCTCAATAAAACACCCTCCCTCTCCTCCCACCAGTCTGAACGACACATAAAAGCTCCGCAAACTTTTTACATTTTTGTTCTACTAGGATTAGATCGTGCAGCTTGATTAAATATCGAGTTATCGGTTGGGTGCGACTCACTACTGAAATAAGTCATATCGCGCTAGTCCTAAAAAATCGGTCTATGTAACCATATGAAGCAGGGCTACCGCATACTTCAAGTTTTCGAAATGCCCACATATTTGCTGCTGCTTTTCAACCATGTTTATAGTTTGTATACGAACGTAAATACCAGCTGTTTGAACTGTTCCAACTACAAGTACTTTCTTTATTGATGGTTCGAAGAATGTAACACCAGATCCTCAAACGAGCTATGGAGACGTAATGGGAAGCATATTTAGAAATTCTGAATTGTTAATTGGAAATTCTCGAATATGAGGTTTTTCGTGCTGAATGATTGGAACTCTTCCTATCTGCCCCAAAGATGCAAGACAGATCGAAGTAATCGACGGCAGTGCAACAAGTCTAGAGGAGAATCTTTTAAGACTGAGGAGTTTTTTGGAGGAGAATGGTAGAGGAAAGCACGTCCTCCTTGATGAAGTCCCCATCACACTTGGATTCGAGGACATCATCACCCCAGAAGCCCTTTCATATCATTGGACATGGATCAAAGAGTTGGACGTAAAGTCCATTACTGTCTGCTTTAGACCCAATGACCTGTCCTACACGAGGGATTTCCCCCTCGAAGACGTTCAACCAGCTGGATTTAGTATCACCGTCCTCGAAAACGTGAAGAGGAACACCAAGCAAATATCAGAACTGTTTATGGCCATTGGGAATTTTTCCCGACGCGTCTTTGTATCATCTGAACGCTCCTTGAACATCATGGATATAAATGAGGAAGAACCAGGTAGTGAATGCCTTCCTGGCTTCGCTCAGATGACCTCGTGTCAAGCCCTTCATCGCAAGTGCAAAGATCGGTTGATCTGTGAAGTCGTGAGAGCTTCACATGTTGTACATGAGAAAAGCAAAAACGTATTGGAGGAAATGTCTGCTTATGTTGTTGTTGATATCGAAGAGAGAAGAAATGCGTTTTTTACCATACTTATGTCCTTATATCCCGATTTTCCGGTCCTTTTCTATACTGATGATGGTTTTCATGGGAAGCCTGCGCCTAAGGGATCTTTTCCTCTCGTTGTCGTTACCGAGGAGGAAATTATGGGATGTCACCCTTTGAACTTGATTGTGATCCTCGACTTTCCTCGGTCCCAATGGAAAAACTATAGTAGATTGATAGCGACCACAGGAGGTAATAAGTTACTCGTGGTCGAGGAAGAGGAATGGAAGACTGGGAAATTTTCCTTCGTCCGAAGTAGGCTAAAAAATAATCCTGCATGGAGGATCGAAACGAGAGAAGTGGATGACAAATATTTAATCGAAAGACTGGAGATGGCATGCCAAAGCCACGAGGAGGAGGACATGGAGGAGCTGAACAGCTTTAAATATGAAAGGCAATCATTCCCTGGAATGGATATGGATCGAAATAGAAGCAATGGAGGGGATGACGCAGATGTAGAAAATATGCTCAAATCTTGGCTAATTGGAATATTCGGCTGCCCAGCTTCAGGGAAATCCAGGAAATTAGATGCGTTAATTGAACGAGTAACAGATCAAGTCCTGCTTCTCCACTGTGGGAGTGGAATGTCTTGCGAAGTCTACAAACAGCGCTGGAAGAATAAGACCAATGTGGAATTGGTCCAGAAATGTAAAATTGACTCACTTCTGGACATCTTCGAGGAGGTGGAAAAAGCGCAACAAAGAAGTAAAAAGGCATTGCCCTGGTTTCGAAAATTTTTGAGTCGAAAAGTAAATCCTCCTTTTGTGGTGGTCGAAGACTGTCCATTCTTCCAGAATTTTCCAATGACATCGAAGGAGTTGGGGCACACTGTAGAGAGATTAAAAGACATGAAGATGAAGCTCATCCTCGCATTTAAACCCCACTCAGAGAATGCTTCGACGAACTCCTTGGACGAAGCAATAAACATGTTTAGGTCTACATCCCCCCAAGACTGCATGGCAATAGTACTTCCACCTAAATCGACCAATGTGCCTCTCATGGAGTACATCCGAATGAACGAGACTCCAAAAGCCCTGAATTTAGAATCAAATAATCTTTCCGTGTCTGCGGTGCCCGCCAGCATCGTCCCTGGTCCGCCCGTCAAATATATCGACATCAAATTCCAAATATGCTCAGGACGACATCTAGGATATTTGTGTCTACGAGAAGGCAGCACTTGTGGAATCACTGCAAGTGTCCTATCTTCACCATTCGCACTTGAATTATTCGAGAATAAAGACAACCCCCCTCTCATTCTGGTATCGGACGAAAGCCTAAAAATTCCACTGCAAACGAGAGTGGAAAAAACTTGGCCAAATGTCCAAGTGAAACATCTAAAGGACTTTCGTGGATGCGAGGCTTCAGTCGTCATCTCTTTCAATGTGAGTGACGAGTCGCTTCTAGAAGTGATTTCGCGCGCCAGAACACAACTAATCATCATCGACAACCTCATCGAACACAAAGACCTATGGAATGCCATGAAGCAAGAAAATCGTGTGCAGTCTCTTCCTGCTACTCCTCCCACAGAACACGAAAACGACATTGGCATTCTTCTGGGATTAGATGATCATGAAATATTCCTCGAGGTAAATCGCTTTCTTTTTTCCAATTAGGGCTCCCCAAACTCTCTTAGACTCTTGGAAATTTATTTAATGCATGTATGGAACTTTTCCCAATAGAGATTTGCTATGGAATTTATGAATATGAATATAACGATTCTACGAATGTTAAATTTGAGCAAATAAAAACTCAGGTGTTGAGGAGCCCCTCTCGTTTGCCTGAATCCTACTCTAACGAGGCATTTTAAAGCTTTCCTTGGAGTTTTAATTGGAAATTGGAAAAAAAAGTTGCTAAGGGTGGATTTTTGAACAGCATTATCCGATATTGCAGCTTTATTTTGGAGAAAATGCATTATGAATCCGGTAAATAAAGCTGCATTATCGGATAGTTCTCTGTTCAAAAATCCACCCTAAAGCTCAGTACAGAGGCCTAGTATGGGAGGCAATTCCTTCTTGTTTCATGTAGTAAAGGTAAGAGTTAAGAATTATACCCTACTCCTCGACTGAGCTTGCCGGATAAATGTTACTCATCCTAGTTTTATTTAGTAATCTTTAGGATTTCTGCCTTCCACAATATGGGAGTGTTATTGAAAAATGCTCATCTTCTCGTTTGTGCATCTTCCCTGTATTGCAGGGCCCAACTTGGAATGAGGTGGGGGAGCGAGTTGGGATGAGGGCGCTGGAGGTAGGGACTATCCTGGACGAGGACACCGGGGCCATATTGAAAGATGGAATATCTCCAGAAACATGGTCAGCCATCAATGAGAAGCTTTCTCCTGCATCATCCTCCCCTTTAGCCGATTGGGGGTATATGTGGCAAGGCAAGTGAAGAAATTTACTGGTGGGATCAGGCTCATTATTCATAGGGTTGATGCGAAGTCCTGATGGAGCGAGTCAGAGTCTGGTTATAGGAGAAACCTTCTCGTCAACGTCTTGTCTGTAAAAATTCAGCGAATGGTCGCTTTACGTCACCATGCTTATTTTCTCCCTTGTCTCGTTTTGTGCAAAAGTCACTTGGCTCGACACCAGCATATGAAGAAATGAAGTCCACGGCTATTTTTTGCCCAAGTTTCAACACGCCAGTTACTGGAACCTCGTCCCTTCTTTATCCAGTCTTCATCACTTGAGAGGTTTACTTCAGCGATTGTTGTGTGCTAATCTGCACTATCTCAGTGCTTTCGATCCCTATTTCTTGCAGCTCATCAACCAGTTTGAAGCTGCTATAAAAGTTGTCTAAAGAGACTGTGGTTCAGGTGATTCAGCAAGTGCTCAACCAAGCGCAACTTCATTTTAACTCCCATTCCCGAGCTTGATTTAGTCACAGTGCCCTTGCCACAGTAAACTTAAGTCGTAAACGATTGCACTTGCCACTGCTCAAGTAAAAATCGCTATAACCCATTTGTGGGGGCTGTATTTGATATACTGCTGGAAAGGCAACCGTTCGTCAATATACATAACGAGCGGCAGATGTCTGTATGACCAGATTTATCCGGTGAACTCCTGTTTTTCTTCAACCGATTTCCATTGTCAATATCTCATTCGATTTGTATTTTTGCAGATAATCCAACTCATTTTAGTTCTTTTTAGAGTTCACCTTTGACCTGACACAGATAACCCTACGTATTAATTTTAAACCCAAATTCCTGTGTGATGTATCATTCGAAAGGCTTGAATTTCCTTTGTTATAATTATCTTTTATATTGCAAAGTTGCAGCCATTTGATTCTGCTGCTGTCAATCTAAGTTGAGAATGCACTAGCGCCATCTCTGTACAGTCTATATAACAGCTACCGTACGGCACCAATTTCCTACGTTTGACTTCTCGTCGAAACTCAGAATTCTTAGTTGTACTGAGACGTTTTCGTCGTTCTTATCAAACGCGGGAATATTATCATATCGGCTATCGGCGTTAATACACGCTTGCTTTATATTTTTTTAGCTAACTATACTGCAATGAACAGATAATGAGAAAGGAAGATAAGATCCCATGACATGTGAGACTAAGCCAGGCTGATTGCCAAGCTTAATCGATACCCATTGTAGGTTTGGGTGCCACAGATGTTTTACTCATTCTGCCCAACAACGTTGTGTCAACATTGACAAATAGTTGAAACATTGAGACAGAATTGAAGGAATGAGTTGCAACATTGAAGTATTAAACTCCAGTTCAGATCCAGTTCGGGAAGTTACTCGGATGAACCCATCCGTGGTATTCTTGCCCTCATTAGAGTAATTTCAATTTCTAATCAATATTAGTGCGCTCTTATGCTCAGAAAAATGAAGAAGTAATGCCCACCCTTGACAAGTCACATGATTGGCACAACGTGACACATGATCCTAATTTCAACGTTGTACTGCTTCAATTCCACATTGCTTCCAAATTCTGCACATCGTTGTGGAAACATTGTTAATGGTCGCGTGTATGTTTTGCATGTTCATGCCTGCCTGTGTGAGTAATAGTTTTGTATCCTGGGCATTTTCGGAACTATTAAAACCTGCATTTGTTAGATTTAAATTTCCATTACATCTCCTAAGGAAAGTAATAATTGGCATAACATAAAATATCGACAGAAAAAACTGGAAAATAACTTTGCTCCAATGATCGTAGGAGAAAGCGATTCGCGCGTGAGAGTCAAAACGATGGCTATCCCAATAAACTTCCGAGGATCAAGGTCGTACGTACTCCCCTACGCTGAGCATTTGGGACAGATTCGCAATAAATTCATTGGTAAAGAACACATTGGTCATTGGCTGGGCCTGAGGCCGTAACCAAGTGCGTTCAACTGTGATTATTTTCCATTGATATTTTTTTCTTTGCAGTAAACGTCATTCAGTGAACAAAATGTATATTCACCCTCTAATCACCCCGTGTGTACACGGGCTTTCGACTAATTGTATCTGTATCTGCGAATTTGAAATCCTCAAGTTTAAATCCAAGAAATGTGCCTGAAGAAAATGTGGCTAAGTTTTTTCTTAAACTTTCTTGCATTTTCCATTGATATTCTTCATGTCAAGATCTATTCTGTCATTGCTGATGGACAGCTATCATTTGAATAGCTATCCTCTTCTTCTTTTCATCTCCTTTTCTTCTTTGCATATTTTTAGGTCTTTATCCATGAGGGACAGTCTTATTTCCGGTTACAGTCCACTTTCTCTGAAGCACACTTTGGCTCTGATTGTGGCAAACATTTATTTCAAATCCTGGTTAACGATCCTATTGCATTGGCTATCTCTCTTTGATGGAGAACATAATGGAAGTACCCTCAAAGTATAACCCTTCAGGAACGAATGTCCACATCTGGAGAAAGCTCTTGCTGCCAAACGGTAATCCTGCAGATAGTGACTTGGTCGTCGTCATGTCCACATGGACAGAACGCCCTGGTCCTGGTTCCTCCAGGAATTAAATGTGTGAACTTTCTCCAGCTAATCGATTGTGCAGAAGCGATGCTTGTAGTAGGAACTTAAGCTGTGGTAGCTTTCTCTAGCGTCTGTTACGGCAATCGCTGTCTTGCCTGGTGTGGAGATGTCGAAAATGGTTTTGCTACACAGCAAGTTGTTTGGTAGGATCGTGCCCCTGGCGAGACTCTTAAGACTTCTTAGCCCATTAGGCCTCATTAGCTGTCATTCGCTTTTTAAGCCTGTCTTTTTCGTTTCCTGCAAGAGTTTGGCCTCATACTGACCGTTGCTTTTTCTTGATCGGCATGAATATTCTCTCCACAATATACAGGGTTTCCATGGAGTTATTTCCCAAATTCGAAAGGCCTTATCCCCATTACGGAGTGACCTAGAAACCTCATATTCAGCATATAAGATGTACATTCAATGGGATTTAGGATAACCAAGTCTCCAAAGGTTTGAGAAAATTTTCTAGAGATCACCGCTAGAGTGGCGCTATACCGGCGAAGCACACAGTCCAATACCAATATCCGCGTGGATGGCACGACCAAACCTGCAGGTATTCAATGATGCCACCGCCTTCATTCATGTAATGTAGTGGTAGATGACAAAACATAATTAGTCAGACGACAATGTTAGAATCTGGCGCGGCATGGCGTCGCTATTCATTCCTTGAGCTCCACTAAGTTCGCAAGACGGCCACTGTAAACCCTACAGTCAGAAATCCGCATGTGTAAGATCCTGGGACCTTGGCTGCTAGGTCTGTGGGAAAGCCCTGCTTATCACACTGTCCTGGAACGTACCTTAACCCTTTCAGACCTGGTGTCCATTCCGATGGACATCGCATTTACATTGCGCCAATGGTGATTTCTTGGGATTATGGTGACTTTGCGCCCCATATCACACTACAATGGGCGCAATTATGCATGGCTCAATTCCATCAGAGGCCTTCTTTCACACGTATGTTTTGTAATCTTAAGTTATGCAATTAAATACTGTACAAAGTATATACGATATGGTTAATCGATCCAAAATATGAATGATATATAACACCTACAAATTTATATTACAATAGCGAAAGAACTAAACAAAAAAATGCATCATTCCGAAACTGGCTTTACTTCAGGTCTGAAAGGGTTAACCTTTTCCACTCGAATTTTTGCAAGAGTCAATGTACCAATGGGCGAGTATACTCGCCCATTCGAGTGGAAAAAGTTAAAGAAGAGAGGAGACTTGTTACCCAAAGTGTGGAGGGACTCGTGTCTCCGGCCGGTACATCGCCGCCCTAGTGGCGTATCCAGAAACCTTGTGGACATTTTTGGAAACATGGCTATCATAAATCCCATTGGATGTACATGTACATCATCTGCGCTTAATATGAAGTTCCTAGGCCGCTTCATAATGGAGATATAGCATTTTGAAATTGGAAAGTAGCTTCATGGGCACCCTGTATTTAGACTGTGTAACAAGGTCAGAAATAGCAGGGAAGTAACATGGGGATCATATCCAGCTTAGATTGTCTGAAACCTACGATCATTCCGAAATTCCATAGGTCCCGTAACCTCAAAGTCGGGTGCAAGTGGCCCAAAATGATACTGGGTGACCCATGATAGCCTAAAATGGCCGAAATTGTCGATTGAATGCGTGTGGGCCCAATAATCTGAGTCATATACGTAATTCTGAAAAATTGAACCATTTGCCAATTTGGACTAAGAGTAACAGATTCAACCATTCATCCATTCACGCACTGGAATCCAGAACGAGGCATTTTCAAAGAAATTATAATGCGAGTAAAACCGATCAACTTTTTCTGCACATGTTTCATCTTAGTGGATGCGGACAGTGATTTTATATTCTTTGGAAATGTACGCAACCCACCCACCTCTTTCGACTCACCAGTGGGTAGTTTGGGTTCCCATAGGTACAATTGAATTTTTGGAATGCTCACTCCCCACCCCTGTAGTACCAGGAACAATGGTTCACAGGAAGACCTACATCGCGTACGTTGACTGTACCTTGCCAAATATTGTCATTATCAACGAAAGCGAAATTATCAGCCTTCCCAATATTGCCATTCCATCATCGATTCAATATCGGACCAGTGAGATGATCCAATGTGTACTGGAAAGTTCATGGGATAAAAGTTCAAGTTCTACTTTAGGCCATTGCACGTCTCCCATTCCGCGCAGTACAAAAAAGTCCCCTTTCCTCTATGCATGGAATCATCCCTCACTGGAGTGTTTCGTACATGCCCATATGTCTCGCCTTGCATCATTGTAGCTATCAAAATACTTGGACACTTCCTGATATGTAATACACACATTCCAGACAGTATCTTGGAGTCCAGTTATAAGCTCATATTTATTAATAATATATTAATAATATATACCTGGAAAGCATTACTTGCTTTCCCAGTACTTGCTTTCCGGAAAGCAAGCTTGCTTGGAAAGAGAATGATCATTCTCTTTCCGCGGCGGAAGTCGATACGCTATCCTGCCCATCCATGCGACAGATGTGCGCATGGGCAGGAAATTATTCAGGTGAAGGCAGTACAAGTACTGGAGATTTAAACCTCCCCAACATGGGAGAACCCATACTCGGTAATAATGTATAGCTGGAAGAAACGTCACTATTGACCCTGGTGTTCATCCCAGTTATAATGAAATAGTTTCGAAACAATGTCTCATTGAATCCTATAGGCCAGGAGTCATATTGGAAGCTCTGGGGATCCTATATAGGTTTCGCGTATTTCAAAAACCTATAGAAATAACTTAAATGCTTTGTATAGCACTTTCTCTTAATGGAAATTACAGATGGAACGCGCTTTAACATTTGACATAGGTGCGATAAGTGTTGCTTCATTTTGATCCTGGGATTTTACATATTTATTTCTCTTCACCTGGATCATGGAATGAAGTGTGCCCCATCCATATGATCGTTTACAAAGGGTAATCACAAGTCAAATAAGACCTGTAAGCTTTTTCCATGTGACTGTGCTTGTCTCTGAAGATCAGGTGAGCACGTGAACTGGTGCACGACAACAAAGCGCTTCGACTCCTCTTATTAGCAGAAGGTTTACTAGCTACTATCGCTTTTCTGATTTTTTTGTGTGGCTCTCAAAGTCCCACGAAAAGAGAGGGGAATTTTAATCCACTCTGCAGCACTATATTCACGGAATCAACAGATGCAGGGCAGAATGGCAGGGCAGAATGGCAGCTTCACAGACTGCTTCAGTACCAATGAAATTGACAAGGAGGAAACAGAGAAGCAAGCACGTAGTGTTTTATTTGTCTTAGTTCACCCAGTGGGCGCATCACTTTTACACATGTTCATAATAATAGGTGGTGTTCATCCTGCATTTGTCTTTGCTCTGCACGGATTGACATTTCCCTATCGGCACAATTGGAATCGGAATTCGAACCTCACCTGGGGGTCATGTCGCGATAATCGAGCCAGATCGAAGTCCGCCTAAGCCTCTGAAACTTCAGAACTCCAAGTCCCTGAGAGCGGCTCTGCTGGCTCTGTCGGCGCGTCCATCATCCCACGACGTCACATTCTTACTGGCCAGTTCAACGTTATCATAGTACATGACGTTCCGCTGGTAGCGACTAGCCAAACTGTTACGCTATATAATGACGTGATCTTGTAGAGCACTAAGGGAGAGAGGTGTTATTTTTGCCAGCAGATGGAAGTGGTTGTATTTAAGGACACTTACAATTATTTCGTGTTCGCTCACATCCGAACAGAAACTCAATTGCTTCCCAAGCTGCCCTCCCGATCCGTGGATCGAGCCTATCAGCATCCCATGTACGGCTAAAAATCATCCCTCAATTCTCATTCAACACCCAGACGTTCGAAACAGGAGCGAGATGTCTCATTTGTCTGGTACCCAAGATTTTCAAATGCATACATCATTCCCAATATGAATATCATAAACCGGAACCCTTTGAAATTCAGACTTTAAAGAAAATGATGAATTTGGGAGCAGAGGCTCCCAAACACTCAAAATGCATTCAAAATAGTTCATCGAAGATGTAGCTGTTCAAAATTGTGTGTTACATTTGAACGCTATGGGGCTAACTTCATACACTTTAGTTAGACGTGGATGCTTCATGGGTTGAGGCTACTTAGATAATCAAGACTTGGCCATTTGTTAAATGTAGTATAACCCTTATAAAAACCTGTATACCAGTAACATTGCTGCAATTTCCCATTACTTTAGCTAGTATGACCCAATACTCTTTAATTCCTTCCCTCACTTCATCAATTTTCCAACTTTTAGGTTTTAAAGGAGAAGTGCCTGAGGTTGAAGAAAAGGAACAAAAGAAAATCCTTAAAATAATCAAAAGGAGAGGTGTGGAGTGGAAGGATGAGTTCATCCCCCCAGTTGCCCTGGACATAAGGCATAACAGCAAGGGATCAGGAGTCCTGGAAGCATTGTCTCTTGCCCTCACCGGCTCATACCTGCATCTTCCTCTTCTCAAGGTCATTTTCCACCACTTCTCATTCCATAGACATTCTTTATCTTTCCCATTATCTTGGGGAAGAACGAATTTCGGCTCTGGTTTTTTCAGCCTTATCCGCATCAAGTTGGCAAGTATCTCCAGGTAGTGCTCATAAGATATCAGAGAGATCGTATCGGGCAGTAACCTTTTCTTATTTCACCCAATAGTGATTTTCAAACGCTGCCGAATTTTCCTTAAATATCCAGGTGAAATGTTCTGAATGTACTTCTTGATATCATCCAAAGTACGTTAAGGATAGTGGCTCTCCTGCAGGGCACTCAGTTATCACATGTAAAAGTATGGGTCAAACTCTAGCATCAAACCTAAATTCGAGAACATGAATTGGAGAATAACTATTTTAAGCGCATATTTAAGCCTAATGATGACAAATGGCGTTAAACTTGTATGATAGACCACCCCCCCCCCTTTTCCACCCCCCCAAAAAACCTCCCTATTATGTACCTGCAAAATTTTCAGAGTAAAGGAAGACTCACATTTCCTGTCACATTAATATCATTCAAGCAAAAGTGAGTTAAAATGTGGACCGATTAATTATAAATTGGATGGATGTGGGATATTCAGTGACCAACAAATCTGGTCCAATGTTTCTGACATTTTTGTTTTCAGGCTAATAATTTTAATGATAAACAATCAATCCAAGCCAAGCAAACCAGCAAATACTTCTACTTCTTGGCTTCCAATGGCGATTGATTTTGTGTTGCATGCTTGCGCATTCGTGGTGTATTGGATCCTCAAAATATGTTTGTCAATGGACCACTTTTCCTACGCATTCCTAGAAATATGGAAAAGTTAGCTTTTTCAACATTTTGTGCATCCACCTAAAGCTTTAATACCGCAGCGACATGCCTGGGCTTGGTTTCGATCAAGAGGATGACCACTTATGGCGGAATATCGTCACACTCAGCCTCCAAACGTTTCCTAAACACCAACGTACCGCTCACCTCAGTGTCGTTATCGGACAGTCTTCTCTTCTAATGTAGCCACGAATGGTCAATGTCTGGGCCACTCCAATAATTTGATGCCGCTGTTTTCAGTGCGGAAGGGGTGATTGGGAGCGCTATCCTGCTGGAATACTGCTCAATGGCTTTAAGGAATTCGCCACCAACATGCATGTGTAAAGTTCCTTATCACCGTCGTTGCGACACGCATAGCCGACTCTTTGGGTGGTTCTGCAACCCCGAATCATCAGGCTTCCATCACCAAACTTGACCTATGCTGCGCTGAGAGCACGCTCTCAGAACTATTTCACTCAAACTTGTCGCCAAATAGTCGATCTTAGACTCGTCGGATCAAATGACTCGCTTCCATTCTTCCGCGGTTGAATTGCGGTGTCGCAATGCATGGTCGAGTCTTCTTGCATGCTTCATTTAGATCGACCACATTCAGGGCGCAACGTCCGGTATCGGTACTGACCTCCACTTCCGTGGTATTAATATCTTCCACCTCTTGCGCCAGCTGGACGGCAACATTAACCATTCTCGAGGTGACCATCAGAACCATTCTATGCTCGTCGGCCACCTCGGCACTACTGCGCATCATTCTTGATTTCTCCACACACTCTCTTCTCCACTGTATAATCCACGCCGAATTGTTTTGCGATTTTCTGTGACGAGAGGGCCTTGTCAAGTAAAGAAATCATGTTGTGGCGAGTTCATTACGACATGCGGGTTATATCGAATAAAAACATTTAAGGAAGAAGAGAGAGTTGGTAGTAGGAGTAAGTGCAGTAGACACTTCGTCTTACATGTTTGGTGAAGCGTGAACGGGTGGGTGGTAATTTACAAATGTCCCTTGGTCGAGCTAAACACGAATCGCAAAACTGGCATAATGACGCACCCTCCTTTGAGGCCCATTATAAATGAATATCCTCTCGTTCGAAAAGAAGTAAACAGCTTTGGAAGCTCAGAAGCAGGACTATCTTCCTTCTAAACACGGTTTGGATTGATACTACCCAAGCGGATTATTACTACTTCCTCACATTCGCACTTGCCCACTTCGCATTTTCGTCGCATTTTACCACTACCTCAAGGACTGCGGCAACGCAGTAGTTGATTTTCCAGTCGTTCTCAGATCACCACTCTCAAATCTCGGAGACTCGCGTGGTTTCGAACTGTCGCTATCGAGATTCGTAAATGCGTTTTACCCGACAGGGCATCGAAGTGACTTCAGGAAAGGGTTTCTTTTTCTTTTATTTTCCCTTCGTTGACTTTTTCTCAATCTACTGTAGGCCTAGGTGATGACCCTATTTTGTTTCTCCCACGAAGGCATTCTTAAGAATATAAAATCCCCAAACTGCAAGTCAACTTCCTTTTTTTTTAATGTTTAATTTATTTTATAAGAGCCTATTTCGGTTTATTGGTTGTTTCTTTTTCGCTCTCTTTTAACCTGCAGATTTTATAGAGGCCCTTTTCCCCTCAAATCTGAGGGATTCTGCTATGTCAATATGTACTTGTGACGTCTATGAGGAAGAATAGCACCCCAGTTTCCGCTTCTACTCAATAGACAGAATGCAACGGACATTTCTCAAGAAGCCAGGAAGTGAAATACCTCCAGATGTTAGGTCATCATTCGATTTCAAGAGACGTTCTTGATGCTGTAGCATCTTCCTCCTTTTTTTCTCACTGGGGTCTCACCTTGTACATGCTGAGTTAATTGTGGGGAAACGAGAATGATCCTGTGTGAGGCTTCGCATTTCTCCACTTAATGTTTGGGGGCTGGTGACGAACAGAGGTGAAAAAATTGCGAAAGGGCCCCTCTGGATCCCATTGCGAATGAGGCAGGACCTGTGCTTTGTTATTTCTTTCGCGTTTCGGCAGATGTATCTGCTGTCTTTATCGTACGACATATACTCTTTCCTTTAGGAAACACGTTTTCCAGTGTTGCCGCTCTCTGTCGCAGTGGGGAAGCGCTAATGCCTCAGCTCAAGTGGCAAAATGCGAATGTGGGCAAAGGCGAAGCACTCACCCAAGCATCCTCATTCTCCCTCAACCATCTTTGTGACATCATAGCCAGCTTGAATAAGACAACATTTAGCAAAGGAAGATCATGACCCCCCCCCCCTTGAATAAGACAAAAAATATTATCTCCATTGGAAAACTTATTCATATTTTACTCCCGTTCAGATACCACATTTGAAAGGCCCACAAGGGTCCTATATGGTCCACCAACATTAGGATGCATTAGCCGATTGCTATACATGGAGGCCACAAGTAAAAATGACCATGGGCTGATATTGGCAGTAGGTAGTATGGGATGACTTAAATATGACGATCTTGTGCTGATACCTGCAATGGGATTTGTCCAACAAGTTCAGGTACACATTGATTCTTGAAGGACTGAAGGTCAAATTCGGTGGAGGCTTAGCTCACCATTCAATTAACACTTGAAACTACAGATGCAAACTAAGAGAAATGCTAAATATAATGGTCTCACCACATAAACCTCTAATACATTGCAATTCCAAATTCAAGGTAAGAAATGTTGAACTTGAATTCTTCTTAAAACACGAACTTGAAGTGGTTAATAGCCTGTTGCCACACAACACTATATGCATTCGAACACCACGAACATAGGAAAACATTTACACATGTGTATGGATGAAAAATATTATTGAATGAAAAGAAAGGGAAATAGCAGGAATAATTGTCAAAAGAAAACATGGAAAAATGAGAAACCATTCAAGAACCAACCAAAAATTCATGAGAAACATTTCCCGGGAGGTGGAGCATCATGTAGCATCCTCTCCAGCATCTCGAAAAGCAAAGATATAGGAATAAAACTCAATCAAAACAAGTGCAGGTTCGCCCATGCATGCAGGTGGCCTTTTTTCTGCTTTTTATTTTCATGCAATTTATGTTAAAAGGAAAAAGCTTCCTTGAATATCTAATTGAAAATAAGTAGGATACAAATAGATAAATATTTTCCTTGACTAGGCAGTCGTACAGTCTTTCTATGGAACAAACATTAAAGAATGTGCACTTTCCTTTACGACCCTATGTTTTCTTGCCAAGTTAGGATTTTCTAAAATAGTGTGGGGCATCCAGTACCTCGAGGGACATTTGCTGCTTCATCAAGTAAGATGCCACATAGTGCCTAGCATTCATTGGTGTTCTTGAAGGGTATTAATTAGACAGTTCAAGATAAGAGATTGAATGGTCCGAGATGTAAGAAAATGTATTTGTTGATCAGCAGAGCGAATTAGGTGGCTTTAGAAAGGTGTAACTTGCCACATGCATAAATGACATCAGGTTGAGTTCAGAAAAAAATTCAGCATGTTGGTGCTATCTGCACAGAGTATACCTTTTAGTGGGTAGGCTTATATATAATGCATATAGACTGATAAGCTGACCGACTGATTGACTGGCCCCAATTATAACTACGTTCAAGATATTACAGAATAAAACATGGTACGTGGGTTTCTACTTGGAGACGTCAGAAAAATTCTCACTTTGAAAGTATATGCCCTGTGGCCATGGATTTTAGGGGGAAATGATTTCATAAAATATTATTGCTTCGGTCAAATGGAGAGACATGAAAAGCTGAAATTTGGCAAGAATATGACCACTAACACACTGAATTGAGGAAAATGTCAAGTTTCTAATGCATCCCCTAGGGGCGTATAATTTTTTGGGCTACGTTCCCAATTAGTTAATTTTTGCCCCTGTAAATTTAGCAAAAAATGGAGAGATGAAACTTGCCACACACTAAACATCGAACATCGTACATCGTACTAAACACACACTTACATGACCTTTATTTCAGGAAGAAGTCAACTTTTGTTGTTCATCCTCTGAGGGCACAGATTTTGAGTTGGTTGTCTTAGTAAATATATATTTTGCTCCTGTAAAAAAGGCAAATTTCGTGAGAGGTGCATTTTCCAGGGTCTCTTTCAATTCAAGGAAACATACAGCAATAGAAAGTTTAATCGTGGTTGAAAAGGAATTGTTCAATTGCTAAGTGGAGAAAAATCCTCTTTTTGCAGTATATCTCCTCAAGGCAAATTTTGAGAGAGGCATTTTGAAAGGTTTATTGTCAGCTCTGAAGAAATGAGGGACATGAATAAATCTGAAGTTAGGCACACAATGAATTATTGTAGAAATTATTTTGATGATAATCTTAAGGACGTCTGCTATGAAATATTTTTCTACATGGACGTACATTACATGTTTGCCTCTTCTAGTATATGTATTTACTTCAGTGGAACGGAGAAAAATGGACATCTTAACGTGCTTCCTGAAATTGAATTGAGGAAAATTGTTTAGTTTTGAATCCTTAGGGTCGTACTTTTGAGAAGGGACTTTTCAAATTATTTTTCCCTAACACCACATTGGTCAGAAATGGAAAACAGGAAATTGCCACGCTAATAGCTGAGGTGATGGTAAGTTCAGAAAAATTAAAGTTTTGAGGCGCATACCCTTATTGGACAGTTTTTGGCTGCATCGACTTTCCAAAGCTATTTTTGCACTAGGAATAATATTAAACGGAAAAGGCTGAAACTTGCCATGTCTGTGGGTGTCTGAGTATTGATTTCAGCAAAAATGTTAATATCAAGGTAAAACCCCTGAGGGGGTTATATTTCTTGCAAAAGACACATTCCGCAGAATCTTTCCTGATTCAATGAAAGTGAAGACCATACAGGGTGACTCAAAAGTCCTTGGACATCTATTGAAAAAAACCGTTGGACAAGTGATAGCCAGGTGATTTTTTGAGTGAAGCAACTTCTACTATAGATCTATTTGCCTTCCAAGTTTCAGGTCGAAAGCTCTTGAAATGGTTCCCAAACATCAAAAAGAGAAGCATTGATTTTTCGAAGCCAGAGTGCTCTTCCAACAAGCAGGATCTCAAAGCTCACCAAAACCCCTCGATCTACAGCACTATTCGGCGATACAATGAGCTTGGATCAGAAGCAGATTGCCAAAGAATTCGACGTCCTTCCGTGTTCCAGGATAAGAAACTCCAGAAACGAGTCAGGCAAATGCTACACCGAAATCCAGAGCATTCTGGAAGAAAGCTTGTGCAAACCTTGAGAGTGGACAAAGAGATCTGGTGAAGATACATCAGGGGAAAGTTCTGCATGAAGCCTTTTAAAAAACAAAAGGTGCAGCTGCTTACCGAGATCAACAAGAAGAAACAAGATCAAAGGTCCTGCCAGTTGCTCAAACGGTTTAACCAGTCCTCACTCCAAAGGATTGATATTTTCTGGCAAAAAAATTTTCACTGTAGGGCAAGATTACAACCCCCAAAACAATCGCCTCTGGGGTAAAAAGCTTTCCTCTTTCAAGGCTCATCAGCGATATGTCCATCGAGTTCAAAAACCAGGTAGTGTGATGGTGTGGGGTGATGTTTGTGCTTCTGGCAAAACTCCCCTGCATTTGGTGCTGCCTCAGGCCAAGATCAATGCCAGCTACTATGAAGAGTGTGTTGAAGAATGTGCTACTCCCCTGGACTCAGGAACATTTCAAATTGGAACTGCCTTGGACATTCCAACAGGACTCAGCACCAGCTCACAAGGCAAAATCCACCATCGACATCTGCAGAACTCACTTTCCAGACTTCATTTCCCTAGAAGAATGGCCTGCAAGTAGTCTTGATTTGAATCCATTGGATTACAGTGTGTGGTCCTACTTGCAGGCCAAGGTCTGCTGCAAGCAACACAAGAGTATGAACAACTTGAAGCTTGATCTGCTGAAGGAATGGAATGAATTGTCGATTGATCAATTGTGAAGAACCATAAATGATTTCCCAAAACGTCTGAAGCAGGTTATTGCCTCAAATGGTGATTTTTTGAAACATAAAAACATATTTGGTTTAGTTTGTTGTGATCTTTGCACTGGTCAAATCAGAAATTAAATTGGTCTTCCTCAGAGAATGCTACACTTGATTAAAGGTGTCCGAGGACTTCGAGTCACCCTGTAGAAAGTTGTAACTTGGCTCATATATACCTCTTCGATCGCTGAATGCAGATCCTACTTTTCCAACATGACTCCTCATAGCAAATCTTGAATATATTTGAAGTTAAGCATGCAATGAGAAAGCGGATTAGTTGTATATGTACATGAATGTGCTGATTGTGTGGAGAAAATCACAGCCGATGATGAGACTATTGGATTCAAGAGAGGTACACTATTTTCATGACAGTTCCAAATCAACAATATTGAAGATAATACGCTAATAATATTGGAAATAAAGTTCTTTGGAGTGCTCCTCAATGGATTTACTGCTGCGGAGTCATAAAGATTATCGCAAATTCATCGAATTACAATTTCCAAGGCATAGTTTGCAAAATGAGTTAGACATTTGAATAGAATTCAGCATTATCTCACGTGCTTCCCAGACTCGAAAGTCCAGCTGGATTTAGTTGAGAATCCCGTTTCATAAATCGTTGGTAGTCCTCCTGGAATCAGGAAGCTGTCATTAATATTGTAGTGTTTCACATGGTTTCCAGTGAAACATATACATTCATAGCAACTCGAATCGATTTCTTGACAAATTGTTGCTAGATTGCGTTCCCAATGCATCTAAATCTAGTTCCTTATAGTCCTGTACTTGAACTTGAGGGTTTTAAACACTGCAGAACTTTTACATTTCCTTTATTTAAATTTATTCCAAGCTATATGCATTCTGAGATAAAATGCAGTATTTACTGGAACATTCTTCTCTCAGCTATCATTATTCCTGTTAACTCCACAACTGTCAAAACAATTAAATAAGCTATGGCCTAGAAACCTTGCAAATGCATCCTAGGAGTGCAGAAAAAAACCGCATTAGATCTTTAGACATTTAGCAAATGGCGGCGAAAAATATATGCATGGCCTCCACTCAATCCAAGGCTCTAAACTGAAATGTTTAAAGAACTCACATGCAATGATTTCACATTTAATTATTGACATTCCTTGCAGAAGTTGGAGAACCAAGATGAAAATGAAGAGAACCTTCTTCCTCTCCTCCAGGAGGCAGCAAATCTTTTGAAGAGACCAATTATTCTCATTTCCCTTACAAAATTTTCAAATGGAAATTCTTGTGAGTCCCAGTCAGTATTTCTTCCTCTATTACTCTATTACCTCTACCTTCTCCAACTTCAGAATGTATTCAGTTGAAACCATTAACAGGATAATTATTGCATTGGTTCTTACAGGAAATCCTTGAAACGGTAAGGTGGACAATGACCAGGTAGAACTCATCAGATCTAGTTAGTGTCCTAACATTTACAATTTGCAATATGTGTGGCAATACATCGTTCGTTTTTCGTCCCTTAGACGAACTTTTTTCGGAAGATCCTATGAAATTCTCTATAATTAGTGCATCCGGTTTTGTACATGCTTGCAGCATTTCTTCTTTAGATCATGAAAAGTAAAGACCCCCTGCCCAGGTCTTTTTTTACTGCGAAATAGATGACCCAGTGATAATATACTGGGATTTAAAAAGTACCCTGGGTTTTCCCATAAGGGTGCAAGATGCCCTCCTTTTGCTCTATGACACGGTCCCCCTGAACGTCCATGTAAGGCTAAATCAAAAAGACGGTCATTCATTTGTTCAAGAGCAAGTAAAAAGAAATGCGTTTCTCCTCGAATGCTGTCCAGCGAAATCGATAAGTTTAGAGAAAAGTGCTCATCAAATGCATCTGAATGACCTCCAACTTCGGTTCTAAATGGAGACTGTCGAACCACTCTTCACCGAAGGCCAGAAGCCGAACTGGATGAAGTTTGCACAGTCAATGCAAAACAATTTCTGATTTGAAAAAATACCTCTTTTCCAAAGGGATGCTTGACATTGTTGATGTCTACAACTCCCAAAGTGATCGGGTGTGGGCAATGGACGATGCCAAACCCATTGGGAAGGATGGCATGAAGCAGAAACTGAAATTTCTTCAGGGTGCAGTTCACCTCGGGGCTTGATTAAATGGTGTGACACCACTGGTCATTTTTGAGAAAGAGGCGGTCAATTATGCTCCATATACGTAAGATGTTCAGCCAGTCTCCTTTCAATACAGCAAGGAAGTCTTCAGCAAAGATTTGATCTAATGGTCTGGTGAATGTCAAAATGTTCAACTGTTCTAACAATGGCATGAAGAAAATTTCCCCTCTCTTATCAACAGGGACCATCAGGCAATGAACGTTGGGATAATACCCAATGCATTGGGCATCTTCCCACTGATATTTCAACAGAAATATCCATAGATTAAAGTGATGTCAGAAAGTTGGGAGATTTACACCACCATTTATGCTGCTTAAACTCGCTATGATCGTGCCTTCGGCGCTCCATTACCTTGGATAGTGATTAATTAATTCATTTTTGCGAAATGGGGTGCACGTATTTAAAGTATGGCCCCATTGAAATACGTGACATATTTGGTCGAAAGTCTTGATTTTTTAAAAATCAAACTCTTTACTTCTATGATTCTGTGTTTCTAACTTTAAATCTTTCCATGTGCCCCTTTTTATAAGGGAAGGGAATACAATTTTAAACAATTCCCTCCAATAATCTACGCTAAGGAAACATTTCAAAAGTAGGATTTTTCCTGTACTCAGCCACTAAACGGGTACTTCTGAGGGAAGTTTGCATTTTCTGTCTTTGTTTCGTTGGATCCAAATAAAATCAAGAAAATGAGACTTAAAAAAAGAGCCCTGATGGGTTTTAGAGAGAATATGTTTTTCTTCTGAAATGGAGACTTAGGAACTCCATGCCGTCCAGTGCCTTATACGTTTCCCATTTTTGAATTAGCGTCAGTCAGTCAATTACGAACGTCCATATATATTACAAAAGTAGAGTTTTTTCTTCATGCAACTATCCATCAGGTACATACTTCCCACATTTTTTTAACTTCCATGCACCCTCTGTTTTGCTACATCAGAAATTTGTGAAAATACGCCTTTCCCAAAATATGTTCCCTGAGCCGCTTTAATCATAACGTACAATTTTTTATTACCAAAATCCAACCTCAGTGAACTACATGCCTACAACTTTTCAATATTATACGTTTCCCCTTTTTGCTGGTGAAAAAACGTTTGGAAAAGCTGACTCACCCTAACGCTATGCCAAGATGGGATGCACCATGAAGTTGAATACTCCCTCAACTCAGTAATAGCATGTCACTTATACGTGTGCCAAGTTTCACCTTTCCATTTCTGTCCAATTCGCCATGACAATTTTTTTTTCAAAACATCGCACTTTGGAAAAATTACCACAGGGGATGTATTGAGACTTCACATTTTACTTAACTCCTTGTNCGTGTGCCAAGTTTCACCTTTCCATTTCTGTCCAATTCGCCATGACAATTTTTTTTTCAAAACATCGCACTTTGGAAAAATTACCACAGGGGATGTATTGAGACTTCACATTTTACTTAACTCCTTGTCTCAGTAGTCCCATTCATGCAAAGTTTCAGCTTTCCATGTTCAACAGTTTAACTGATGCAAAAAAATAGTTGAAAACATCTCCCTTTGAAATTTGTCCCCCCCCGGTCATTCACTTCCAAGGTCTGAAGTTTTCTGCAGCATGCCATTAGGTAGTTATGTACCAAGTTTCATCTTTCCCCACTAGCTCAATATGCAAAGACAAAACAAATTGAAAACGTCGGCTCATAACAATATGCCCCCATGGCATATTTCTTGAATTTGAATTTTTCATTAACTCTTCGTCTCAGTAGGCACCTCCATGCCAGGTTTCATCTTTCCATGTCTCTGCTTTACTCAAGCAAAGGTATTGTTATGGAGGGGGATTGAGTGATGAAAAGTGGAATGACTGATGAAGAATGAGAAAAATAATGTCATGGAAGGGACATGGAAAGCAAAAAAGCCGAAGAATTAATTTTTTCTGAACTCAGCATCTCAAGAGGTACATGTGTACTAAGTTTCAGATTTCTAACCCTTCTAGAACAGGGTTAGAATTAGCGTCAGTCAGTCAGTGTGTTCGCCACGACCGTCTATTTATATTAGATGCAGATTCATTAAACCTCACCTGAAGCAGCTATTTTGATCCAAAATAAATCCATTGGACATACTCTCATGGACACTGGGACATCCGATGTATATCCTCCTCGGACACCCCCTGGATAACTAAATTCCTCATACAAGGAAATTCCCGGGACATGTCTATTGGATGGACTACTGGATGTCTGTCTCTTTGGTTCCATTGCAGATTCCCTTTGGGAAAGCTTTTGGGTGACCATTAAAGGGTGCAGCGATAGTATTCCCCAGGTAACTATGGAGTATAAGTGGCCTATCTAATATATATAGACGATCCTGACTGACTGACTGATGCTAATTCTAACCATGTTCTAGAAGAGTTAGAAATCTGAAACTTGGTACACATGTACCTTTTGGGAAGCAGAGTTCAGAAAAAGTCTCACTTTGGAGGTTCATGCCCTGGGGGTACAAATTTTTTTTGGGGGGAACGTTTTTCTTCAATATATTTTGTGACAGATGAGGATGGCATTCAGAGAACCAAGTGGGTGTGCTGGGTTCGATGGTGTAGTAGTATCATGTCTGACTGGCACTCAGAAGGTCAGGGTTTAATTCCTGGCCAAAGCTGGGTTTTCTTCTGGCTTTTTTTGCCTTCCATGTCCTGTTACTCATTCGCCTACCATAACCTTATTTTTGCTTGAGTAAAACAGACAGACATGGAAAGCTGAAACTTGGCATGGACGTGCCTACTGAAACGATGAGTTCAGAAAAAAAGGAAAATTTTAGATCCATGCCCTGGGGGCGTGTTTTTGTGAGCCGACTTTTTCAAGTATTTTTTTTTGTCCTGGCGTATTGAGCTGGTGTGGAAAAATGAAACTTGGCACATGATTATCTATTCTGATGTTGCAGAAAATTCAGACTTTAGAAGTAAATGCCCCGGGGGCACACATTTCAAATGGAGATGCTTCCACCTAATTTCTTGTATTATTTACAGTACACTGATGAAAATGGAAAGCTGAAACTTTGAATGAATGTGACTACTGAGACAAGGAGTTAAAGGAAAATGTTAAATCACGATACATCCTCTGGGAAATTTTTTCTAGGGGCGATGTTTCAAAAACAATTTTTTCTTTGGGAATTGGACAGAAATAAAAAGGTGAAATTTCGCACACGTATCATTGACATAATATTATTGAGTTGGGATATATATTCAGCTTTCATGGTGCATCCCCTCCGGGCATAGCTTCTGGGTGGGTTGGCACTAGAAAGTTTATAATTGGAATAGTAGAACTTGATGTGTAGCTGAGTAAATGAAAAATGCTAATTTCATTATGTATCGATGATCATGAGTAGCTGACTGACAAGAGTCGCTTTTCGCATCCTGAGTTCTGGAAAAATTCTACTTTAGTGATAAATGCCATAGAGGCACACTTTTTCAGGGAACATATTTTCAAATTGTTCTCTTTCATTCAATCAGAGACACATGGAAAGCTGAAACCTGGCAAGATCGTGACTGCTGACGCACTGAGCTCAGGAAAAATGTGCAATTTCCAAAATGGAATTTTGGTCCCAGGCTATTTCTTGGGAACTTAATGTTTTCACAGAATTTTTCATATCCTAGCGAATCGGGCAAGAAAAGAAAAGTAACAGCTGGCGCACGCATGATGTTGATTAAAGGAAAAATTAAACTTTCTTTGTGCGTCTCCTCAGAGCACGCTTTTGGTTGGGTCGCTTTTCCAAGTACATATTTTCTGCCAGCAAAAAGAGGAAACGTATGAGGATGAAACTGAGTGGCATGGAGTACCCTGAGTCAACATTTTAAAAGGGAAAAAAAAATTGTCGAAACCCAATAGGGCACGTTTTTCAGTCCCATTTTCCTGAATTTCTTTAGTGAACCATTGAAACAGAGACAGAAAATTTAAAATCCCTCAGAAGTACCTATTTGATGGCTGAGTGCAAGAAATATTCTACTTTTGAAACATGTCTGAGTTAGCATAGATTATAGGAGGGAAGTAATTCAAAACGTATTCTCCACCTTCGCAAAAAGGGACACATGGAAAGATTTCAAGTTAGGCACTAGAAAGTATAGGGATTTTGATTTTTATCAATATCAAGACTTTCGTCCCCGTATTTCAATGGGGACGTACTTTAAATACATGTTTGTCATTTTGCAAAGAATAAATGACTTAATCAAAATACAAGGTAATGGAGCGCCGAAGGCGTGACCAAAGCCAAGTTCATTCATGGTATGGGAAGTAAGCATTTTCTGCATATTGACGATATCGCCTTCATGCTTCTTGGAGGAACAAGGAAAGGAGTGCTTGTAAGGAAAGTGAAGTAATATTGAAGCAAAACTTCCTACTTCCAATCCGTATCTCTCAATCAAAACAGTATCCTCATCGCCATAGGCGACATGGTTTCAGCAGGGAAGGAACATAGTTACTTCATAAAAGGAACCACTCTCCCACCATGTAATATGCAAGAATTGTCGGGAGTCTCCTTAAGCTATTTTACGTCTCTCAAGCAATGAAATAATTAAAATGACTTCATTCCTTATGCTTGTACTTGGGAAATTGTCGATTAGAGGATGAAAACATATGCAGAAAAATTCTTTAGCATTCTGGAAATTGGGAGACATGCACCGCCAAGCAGCATGTTCATGTAAACAAGATATCAATTTTTTGCAAACAATGTAAATTTCTTGTGATTGCCATGAAAATGACATCATGTTTACAAAAAATTTACGCTCCTATATTTACGTCACCAAGGTGTACGTGTGTACGTGTATTTTACATCAACTAGACGTCACTCAATCTGACATGAAGTACATGATAACAAGTTTATGAAAAATTAACACCACACCATATGAAGCTTCAGCTGACCATGCTGCAGTTGCAGTACCAAGATTCCTCACTAGATGGAACCCTTGTTCCCTGCATCCTACAATTACTATTAAGTACTGGTTTTCCTGATATAATTTCAGGTTTTCTTACCATCCTTCTACTTTTTATTATGCAATCCATGAATATACAGGGTGACACAAAAGTTCTGTACACTCGGTTATCTCAACTTTTTATGACCATTTTTAAAGAACTCACAAATGAGGACAACACTATTAGAAACTTCAACCATTTCAACAGATAATGCCCGCAAATTCATTCAAAATGACCACCTTTTGCTGTAACACAATTGCGAAGTCTCTTTCGGAATGCATCGACTGCGGCATGCAGGGTTTCCTGGGGGATTTTGATCCATTCCGTTTGAAGGGCACGCTTCAGGGATTCGAGAGATGCATGGGGAGTAGCACAGGCTTTGCTCTCCAAGATGCTCCACACGCAAAAGTCCAATGGGTTCAGGTCTGGACTATGAGGAGGCCATTCTGCCGAGGTGATGAAGTCAGGGAATTCTTTTCTGCAGAAGGCCTGAGTGATTTTTGCCTTGTGGGCTGGCACAGAGTCCTGTTGGAAAGTCCATTTGCGGTTTCCGAAGTGCTTTTTGGCCCAGGGCATTACAGTATCCTCCAGGATAAGGTCACGATAGGCAGTCGCATCGATCTTCATGCCAGATGGCACAAAAACCAGGGGCGTGCCCCCCTCTGCAGTGAAACCCGCCCACACCATTACAGAAGCTGGCATCTGTGTTCGAGAGACACGTCGGAGGTCTTGAGAGATACCTGACGACTCTGCTGCCCATACTCGATGATTTTGAGAGTTAAATGATTGCTCGATCATGAAGAGCTTCTCGTCAGAAAAGAGGATATTGTAATGGCAGCCATCTGCGAACCGACGGAGAAGGGCCTGCGATCGTTGCAGCCAAGTTTTCTTCACTTGCTCCGTGAGATGTTGAGCTTTTTGGAGTTTGAAAGGCTGAAGATTCAGCTTGCTCTTGACAATTCGCCGGAGCGATTCGCGATTTATCTTAGTCGTTTGGGCCATTTTTCTCAGCGATTGCTTGGGATTTCGACGAAGCCGAGATCTAACCCTTTTGATGTTGGCAGTGGTTGACACAGACTTCGGTCGACCTGATCGATGACGATCTTCTGTAGAGTTTGTCTCAAGGAACCGCTGAATTGTACGTTTGATGAAGTTCCAGTTGTAGCCATTGTTCTGGAGCAGTCGGAAAATCTCGGTGGGAGACTTCCCAGCTTCGTGCAAACTGATCACAGCCGACCGACGATCTTCATTGGACAATGGCATGACGAAACTGGTAGTTTCATCAGCTCTTTGAGAATCCCCTAAGTCGCGCGTACCTTAAGCTACGTGTAGAAACCAAGCCAAGCATATATGAACGTGGTAGCTTAGAATCGAGAACAGTTTTTTAAAGTGTACAGAACTTTTGTGTCACCCTGTATATATGGAAAACATGAAATTATTATTTATATTTTTATAATATATGACTCAGGGAATCATTAAATGCTGAAGTTAAGTTTTTTATTACAGTAGTGCACTGGATTAGGGAAAAGTAGAATCCCAGACCCACAAGTACTCCATGTTCTCTATCCTTAAAGGATGAGAGCTCCTTTGAACATCTACTTCTCCTCCCGAGGTTCCGATATGGGTGGAGGAAGCAGTAGATCACTTTGGTAATCTTAGAGTGCTGGTGAGGATGAGTACTCGTGTACTCGTCCAACCACCCCAGAGTTCTGAGGAATGTAAAGGAACAGGAGATTCAGTATTTCAATTCTATTCAATGGTACTAGTTGACTCTTTAAATACGCATGAATGCCAGGGGAAAATTAATACAAATCTTATGTAAAATGGATGTAAACTTGGTGCTTGGAGTGCAAACGGGAATGTCAATTTTACGTAAAATTTGTTAATTTCATATCACCGTTTACATATCACAGAGGTGACATTTCTGCAAAGATGTTGACATTTTTTTGACAATGGTTTGTGTAAAAATCATATAAAATGGACAAAAAATTTACATTCATTTTACGCAAAATTAACATAAACATGCTGTTTGTGCGGTGAGATGAGCGCGACCTCGCTTACATTATGGGAACTTTATATTCCTCTAATGAATTGCTAGATGTCAGGTCAGATGGAAGGCCTCAACGAGACAGGTATTCCATCCGAGGACATCCAATGGAAGACCATAAGGAGTTGTCCTTGGAGGTTCTATTGCTGGACGTCCAATGGATGCCCAAAGAACTGACATCGTTTCGTTCTTATGATAGAAATCTAAATGAAATCATGCGCTGGTGGAATCATGTCACACTATCTATATATTGATTGAAAAAATTGGGTTCCTTGAAGTTGTTGTGTTGCGACCTAAGATGGGAGATTAGAATGAAAAAAGAACAAAATAAATCCCACGATCTGATCCTCGTAACGCCATTCCATAAAACCTTCATTCAATGAGATAGAAATGAGTGTTCGAAGTAGGGAAATTCTGCTCTAATAATACTCAGAATGCATGAGAATATATCGATCCATGGCGATGGCATTCTATCTACGTCCAACAGAAGACCGCCTCCGGACATCTGGAATGTCCATGGACGAGTTTTGAATCAACCATGGCTACTTGGGGATGAAGCAAAAGAAACTAAAAAAAAAATTTTGCTGCAGGGACTTTCATCCCAGGGGCGCATGCGGCAGGCATGGGCATCATTCTGCTTTGGAACACCCGACATCAAGTTCTCCCTTTGCTGTGCCGATTGGGACGTCTTGATCGGCTAGACCGAATGGACCTGGTGAGCCGGCTAGACCGGCTAGGCCATCTGGGCAGGACGACTCGGCTAGACCGGCTGGACCGTCTGGGGCTGATGAGACCATTGCGCCGGTTGGCCCGGCTGGACTGGCGGGACCAAGAGAGCCTACAGGGCAGAATGAACCGTCTGGGCCTGTTGGACAAGCTGAACAGGCTCTACTCGGGTAAATATAATCATACGCATATACTATGTTACCCAGAGGATTATGTATACCTCAGGCCAACATAATCTTACCCATATGAGGTGCTGCACATTGTAGTATAGGAGTAGTAATGACATGAAGTACCAGACAGCTAATTTTTCCTCCCAAGACCTTTGTTTTTACCTTTTGAAATGTTGCATTCAGTGAGTGAAGAAAATCTTCAGAAATATGTGGAAAAAGTGGTGGCAGTTTCAGCAAAATCAGAATTGGCCTTAATACATGAGAACTGGATCACATTTGGAGACAGCTTCAGCAAAAAAATCTAATTTTTGGCGTTTCCTATGAAAGAAAACAGGTAGTTGAAATACGGCAAGTGTAATCTCGAGATAGCTCATGGTGTTTGAAGTTCGTCGACAAACCTGTTTTCTTTTAAATCCTGATCATGGATGTCAAGAGTTAAAAAGAAATTGGGTTTGAAGGTAGTAATCACTAGGAAGGGCATTCTTTGGTCTAGAGTGGATCGTAAGTTCAGTTTTGAGACTTCTACCAAGGATAATAGTCTTTTATTTATTCAAGGGAAATGAGAAGGGGTATTTGATTATTCAAGGAATAAAAACCTATAGGACTGCAAGAAACGCCATGCATTCGGCATACATTCAAGTTTCTAGTGTAAAAAATGGTGTAAGTACATTAATTGAAATCCACCTGTAAGAGATTCGTAATTCATATTTAGCATTCCGTAGTATAAGAATGTCTGCAGAAGTATCAGTGTATAGTGACTGCATTTCCAGCTAAACGATGTCTGATGTCGTCCAAGAGGGATAGGTTGTATTAGGAGACATGCATTTTAGGCAAGGAAATTACATTTTCTGCGTTTCTAAGGAAGATATCTCCATAAGTCTCCTACATAAACTGAATGTGGAAAACGGCGATTGGAATCTCACAATCGTCAGCGGAATCTGGAATTCATTGTCAGGCAAGTTTCTTGAAAGAAATTCGCATACGATGGGCAGAAGTGAAGTTGAAGCAATTGTCAGTGCATGCAGAATGTTCATACACAGATTGTTTCTTGGAAGAGCGGATTGCCAATGCAAATTTGAGATGCTTCAGAGGAGTTTATTATGGGATGTACTTATGATGGGAATGGGAATGAAATTTCAATCCCTAACTTCAGAACCCAAAGGGCTTTGAGATAGACCAAAAGTTCCTCCTGCAATTCAGTGAACAGTGAAAAACGTATTCCTAATTTTTAAATATGTCGCTCTGACTTTAAACCCATTTTTGTCCATTTCTAGTGCGAGAGAAACTCTTAATATATGGTGTGGAGTCAAAACTTGCTAGTGATTTCAAAAGAACTTCATTTTTATTGCTCCATCCGGCTGAACGTGCGCCTGAGCACTGAATATTCCGCTGAAAAGCATTTTTTTGTGAATTTCAATCGCTGATAGTGCGTTTTGTGTATTCCAAATGACGAAATATGGGAGAAAAGATAAAATTCCGAAATGAGGTAACGAGAATATCCGCACATGGGCAAAGTCTCCTGAGCATCATTTTCTGTGAGCCGAAAATTATTTCCAAGCACAATATGCAATTTCGCACTGCTATTCTCCTTCCATTAAATTTAGACGCTGGGAACTCCTGGTCACCCAGTTTCAGCGTTATGTTGCAGGCGGTAAAAAATGCATTTGGAAGAGCCACTCACCCAAAAGCTGTGCTCTGAGGAGACACAAAACAAAAGTTGAATTTTTCCTTAAACTAGCACCACTTCCGTTATGCATGAGCCAGATGCTACTTTTCTATTTCTACCGATTAGGTAGGATACGAAACTTTCTTTGAAAACGTAACGTCCCCAAGAAATATGAACCCCAAAACTCTTTTGGTAATTTGATGTTTGACATTTGAGCCAAGTTTCAGGTTTCCATGTATCTCCGTTTGATTGAAGCAAAGAGAACTATTTAAAAAATATGTTCCCTAAAAGGTGTGCCCTTATGGCATGCATCACCAACGTTGAACTTTTCCTGAACTCAGCATGCGAATAGCTACTTATGTCAGTCAGCTACTCACGATCGTCCATATATAATAAAAGTAGATTTTTTCTTTACTCAGCTATTCATCACTAACTAATTTGGCAAGTTTAAACTTTCATGCTACCTTTTTTTTTGCTGACTCAGAAAATTAATTAAAATACCCCTTTTGGAAAATATGTGCCTTGAGCCCTTTTAACTCTAAGGCACCATAATTTTATTATTATTACCGAAATCCATCCTCAGTGAACTACATGCCCACAACGTTTCAATATTATATGTCCTTTTCGCTGGTGAAAAAACATGATTGGAAAAGCCGACCCACCGAAAAGCTATGCTCGGAGCGTTTGCACCATGAAAGCTTAATACTCCCTCAACTCAGCAATATCATGTCAATTATATGTGTGCCAAGTTTCAACTTTTCCATTTCTGTCTATTTCACCCCAAAATATTTATATAAAAACATTCCACCTCGAAAAAAATTTCCCCAGGGGATGTATCAAAACCTATCATTGTCATTTAACTCCATGTCTCTGTAGTCACATTCATGTAAAGTTTCAGCTTTCCATGTTCATCAGTTTAACTGATGCAAAGAAAAATTAGTATAAAATATCTCCCTTTGATATTTCTGCCCCCAGGGCATTTACTTCCAAAGGCTGAATTTTTCTGCAGCATCCCAATGGGTAGCTATATACCAAGTTTAATCTTTCCAAAAGAGCTCAATAAGCCAGGACAAAAAAATTACTTAAAACGTCGACCCCAATAGTATCCCCCAGGGCATGGATCCAAAATTTTGCAATTTTTCCTTAACCCATCGTATCAGTAGGCACCTCCATGCCAGGTTTCAGCTCTCCATGTATCTTCGTTTTACTCAAGCAAAAATAATGTTATGGAGCGGGAATTAGTAATGGGACATGGAAGGTAAAAGAAAGCCAATGAATGTCCTGGAATTGAACCCGGACTTCCTGAGTGCCGGTCAGATGTTCTTCTACAACACCACCGAACCCAGCATGTCCAATTCACTTTCCTTATGTTATCCTCATCTCTCACAATATATATTGAAGAAAAATATTTCCCCCAAAAATTTGTAGCCCAGGGTATATTCCTCCAAAATCGGATTTTCTCTGAACTCGCCATCCCAAATGGTACATGGGTACCAATGTTCAGATTTATAACTTTTCTAGAACATGGTTAGAATTAGCGTGTCATTCAGTCAGTCACGATCGTCTATATATACAGGGTGTCCCACTCGCTTTGGTACCCGAAAAAGCGCGTATAACCTTTAAACTATTGAACGTATTACAACGAAATTTGAACTGCACGTACCTTACTCTATGAAAATCAAAACGGTGTCACAACATATGTTGGAAATGTCCGCCGTTTGCATCCAATCATGCTTGGACACGACGTTCCATGTTTAGGAAGGTACGTGCCATCATATCCTTATCCACTGCGTTTATTTCTTGCCGGATGTTGGCCTCGAGTTCCACAAGTGTTCTTGGTTTGTTCCGGTACACTCGCCCCTTCAGGTACCCACAGAGAAAGAAATCAGGCGGTGTTAAATCCGGCGAACGTGGCGGCCAAAGTCCCTTGGAGATAACCCTGTCATCGAAGAAAACCTGAATTTCAGCCATGCTGACCCGTGATGTATGGCACGTAGAACCATCCTGCTGGAAGTAACCCATGGTGACTTCGTCATCCAACTGGTTGACAAAAGCTTGGAAGATTTCAATATACACAGCTGTGGTGACAGTGTCGTGGAAATATATGGGACCGATTATGCGACGTCGTGACATCACACACCAAACACCAAGCTTTTGGGGATGAAGCGGCTGCTCGTTTACTGCATGAGGATTGTCAGTGTCCTACGGACGAGTGTTCCGGTAGTTGACATAGCCAGATAAGTGGAACCACGCCTCGTAAGAGAAGCACGTGTAATCCAATATGCCAGGATGGTCTGCGACAAATGTTTGGAACCACTGACAATATGCAACCCTCTTTTGCTGATCTGTGGGTTTAATTCGTGAACCATAGTGACACGATATGCATGAAGCTGAGCTGCTTTTGCAGCCTGTTGACATGAACTTTTGGAGAAACCCGACTCCTGCGCAAGCCTGCGCAAGGACTTCTGCGGTGATGCCAGAAGTCTGTTCTGCACGTCCTGGACGGTGTTTGCTGACATTTTTGGACGTCCTCCGCCATGGACATCCAACAACATGCCCGTAGATTCTAATTTCTTTGCCAGGTAGAGAATGCAGTGTTTTGATGGCAGCTGTCGTCCTCCAAACTTCTTTGTAAATTCTTTTTGACATGTCTTTATTGACTGACTTGTCCACTATGTGCGAACAATGAAGACGCGTTCCTCCACGGTGTACCAGTACATTTTTTAGGGTTCACGGACGTAAACTGCAGAAGCACTTCTTACTATGTAATGTATGGACAGTCTGAGCGGAATGACTTCAGGTAAGCATATCGCTTCCTCATAAATTGCAAATAAACGGGCGCCATGGAGGCCAGACAGTCGCGTCGCCAGGAAGGCGCGACTCCTTCGCCTGCCATCCCGGTTTTCTGGCGCTTACAGTGCGACCAAGCACATCATTTTGGTTGTCATAGAGTAAGGTACGTGAAGTTCAAATTTCGTTTTAATACGTTCAATAGTTTAAAAGTTACTTGCCCTTTTTCGGGTACCAAAGCGAGTGGGACACCCTGTATTATATATATGTTATTCCATTTTTTCAGGGTAGTTTAGAAGGTTCCCAGAAAGATTCTACAGTACTGCATTCAGAGGATGAACAAACAATGAAGAATTTCGAATTCCTGCTGAAGTTCTTTTTCAGGGCTACATTATCACCTACATAATTACCGTAATCACCATTGATGTCTTGTCCTTCTGGTGTATTGATATTTTCTGTTTGGTGTGGTTCGGTTTGATGTAGCAGGCAACAAAATATTATTAACCTATTCCAGTACTTCCAAAGGCTCTCTAAATAACCCCAAGAAATGACTTAAGATGGTCAAAGTTTAAAATAACACGTGCAGTCACTCGAGTGTGAACGCGAACTGGCATAGACAAATGAAAGTCATTCAAAAGAAATACACTTGATTTTAATATATTTCTTTCTTTTATTCACCTATTTATAGAAAGGGCTCCATGGATGTCAGCAGAGAAACTGCCTCAAGTATATGGGAATCAAAATATTAATTCCTTTAGCAAAATCACCTTCATGGGCAGGGTGCCTCTGACTTGGGACACTGCTACAGCACCATTACTGTGGGCCTTAGACAGGAACTTTGCCGGATTACCTCCACTCAAACCTGGTAAGGAAGAATTTAGCCTTAATTTTATCCCTACAAATCTATGTCAATTTAATTTACGATGGAAGCATTGTTGAAATAAGGGTCCATATGTCACTCTTTTTTCCCTTTTCACTCCATTTGTCGATGAATGTCATGGCAACAAGACAACTGGGCTCAATCCAAAAATAGAGCCATCTGCTTTAGTGGGATTATCAGTCTCCTCCTTAAATAGTCAATCCTCTTCCAGACTGCGAACTATAACGGATTTTTTGGAGTCCTCGAGGACAAGAACAAGGGAACTTTTAGTTTTCGATAGGTCATTATGAAATGGAGGGAGAACTCCTGCAGTATGTTCGTCCGAGGAGTAGCTGATCCGGGTCTGGACTGCAACGCTAGCTCAATATATTCCTGTTCCCTCTAAAAGAAGTTCCCAAGAATCACTTCACAGTTCTGTATACCAGAGTGAGGCTTTCACAAAATGATGAGACACAAGGATGAAATCCAAAAAGTAACTCCACTGGTCATAGAAGTTCTCGGGACCAGTTATGCACTCATACTGACAGCAGCTACTGGGACACAACAGGAAAGGAAAGGAACACCCATAAGTCACTGTACTATTTATGCAAGCCATGCAGGTGTGTCTTTCTTCAATTTTTGCTGTTGCAATCATCGCTCATCGAAACAGTAGGAAGGGAAGAAATGCACATTCGAATGAGGAACTGAATCCGGGCAGGAGAACGTTGAATCCTGAGTGTCGAAGGATCACTAGATGGTAAGTACCTAGTTAAAAATAATGAAAGTGGGTATTAACTCTTTGACCCCTACAGTCTAACAATGCAGATGGGTCCTATCCCAGGGTATGGCCATTCTTATCCTGGCTTTAATATGTTGAAGTTCAGAATTGAGATTTAAAAAAAAATGACTTGGCCTCTCATCTCTGGTCAACATTACAAAATATATAGGGGCTAAAGCAAAGTTATTTCATTTAGCCTGTTGATTACGAGGACATCTTGGCAGGGGTCAAGGGATGGAAGGCAAATTGGACGCCTAGGAGAAAATGTTTGCACCAAGACTTACTAAGAACGGCTCACAGAGAGTTGCTTCTCCAAAATATAAATCACGTCCACCAAACCAGCCAGGCAGCTGCTCTCCTGTCTCTCCGGGCTAAACTGTCCCAAATTGCTAATATATATATTCATGATTTTATGGGTAATCACAAGTCTGAATTGCAGGAAAGAGGTATTCATTCCTCAGTTTCTTAATGTCGACGACTGACCCATTGATTACTGTCTTTGCTAGATGCAGACTTGAGGGAAAACATTAAATCCTTTGCAATGCACCACTTCTAGCAAAGTTCCTGTTGGTGGACTTCGTTGAACAAATATTGTTTTGACTTGAAGAAGCAAACTTTGAACAATAGGAATTTAGAGAAAAACGCTTGTGCTAAAATTTAGGAATTCCTTACCTACCCTTTTCACCATAACATTCTCCATCTCTTTCATTCCTTGCAGATGACCTTGTGAACCGATGTTGGTGAGATTGGGACACGTATTTATTTCATGCAATATACAGTATCTGTCGCCTCCGTTTCAGTACATGTAAGTTCGCTAACCAAACAAGAGATGAATATTAAATATGCAGAGGTAACAGGATCCTCACATTGCTTTTGACTTCCATGTTTTTGGAAGATTTTACAAAGAAAAATATTCTGCGCCGGTGCCCATTCCATGCGAAGACAATCTTTCAGTTCCTTTGGTCTTGATCATCATTCGTTTTCATAGCTGATGTATTTTTTATTGTACTAGTTGGCCCGGTTATAATGAGTTGAATATGAATAGTTGGCGAATAAAAACAAAGGGTTTGATCCCACGGCATTCAGCCAGGAAAATGACATAAGGATGCATTTTTTGGTTTTACTTGCAGCTATGAAGTCTTTCCTTTACACTTGCAAGGAAGCAACATCATGGTCCAAAATACTAAAATAGTAGTTCGTTCTGGAGGCTAAAATATAAGTAGCGGACATGTTTTACAAAAAAAACCGGGAGGAGGGAAACACCAAAAGGATCACATTGATGGAAGTGTTCTGAGCCGACGAAAAACTCCTACAAGCAGAAAGCGATGACGACTGAGAGGATGGGAAAGGAATATACCCAGTAATGCTTCCGATCCATTGTGTACCACATCCATACTGCTTTCCGTCTAATCTAACTATGGCTGACGTCAGTCACCAGAACGATAGGGAGAGCATACAAATAAATTTCTATGGGGGGGGAGGTGGCAGAAGGTGGGAGATGTCGAATCACTATTGATGAGAAACTCAAGTTCTCACAAAGCGACGGTAGCGCAGCCGAAGAGGATTATTGGCTTCATCCGGCGTTCCATAGCCGGCGTTCCCTTGGAATTCTATTGTGTGCGGCGCTGATCAATTTTCATTTATTGTCTTGAGTCCAATCTTGGGAAGTATAGAAATAAAGGTGACCCAACGCCGCAAGTATGTCATAAGGCGAACCAAGAGAATGATGAAGGAGGACTTCTATATGGGTGGAGTTGGGATTGAACTCGATTGCAGATTCATCTTACTCTCTGCCTCCTCCAATTGTAATGGACAACGTACTGAAACCTATCCATACCTCCATGAGGATTTGCTGATCACAGAGCAAAGGACTGATCTAGATCTAGCTAAAGTAGCTGCACATAACAGGTCAATTCCTGATATAGCTGCAATAAACCCCAATACCTCGATTGTTCCCCTCATAAACCAGAGGGTAATATGTTTAAATTCAACAAATCGGTCTAAAGAGGCAATCCAGTTCAAGGAGCTTTCAGAAAACTCTGGTTCGAAAGATAGGAGGAGGATGGTCCAATTTCGAAGATCACTTCATGCAAGAGAAGAAAGAAATGGAAAATATGAAAATGATTATCATCGAACCTGTGAGACGGGGATTCAGGGAGGGGCGTGTCTTGCTACTTGAGTATGATGTAACTGTGGACAGGACGAAGGGTTACGTGGAATGAGAATTGCCACATGCTTCTCGACCAGACTATTTCATGAAAGGGAACATTCAATGGTAGTATTTGGCAACCAAAATTTTCTCTGACTCCTTGCCATGGAAGCAGGGCTTAAATTAGACTGGATGCAAGGTAAGTGCTGAAAAGGACATATCCAATACGTTATTGCGTGTTGGATGCAGGAATAAAATCCTTTTCCTTGAAATATCCAATTCTCGTCCTATATGATTTCACATAGTTCATGGAAGGCCTGAATTGAACTGTTCTTGATCGCTCTAAATGTCGCTTATTTAAGCAGTCGATACAACGTTCCCATGGACATTCATGGAACGCAGCCGGTACCTTTAATGAAAGGTTCATTGAACGCGTTCGGATGCTACTTGGTTGATAGTCCCTGATGTTAATGGTGATTCCTTCTATTACAAAAGAGAATTTCGTTTCCTCCAGTTTGCAGCAGGTTTATCCTCCTGATCTTTAAATAAATCCCTACAGCCAGAATTAGTGTGGAGTCAGGTCCGATAACATTGGAGGGCACTCGACAGGCCCAACCCGGCCTATCCACCTGCCGTCGAAGCAAAACGACGCTTCTCTTCAGGAAGATTCCATCACAAATACAGAAGAAATTAGCGATGGCGACATGTTCCCCCAATGAGTGTTTATCAGCATTATGATACCATTTGGAGCACCATAATTAGGAGGAAAAAAATCGCGTATAAGAGGTCCGCTGAACCCAAAATATCACTTTTATGTTGAAAAATGTTGTTTTTGGTTTTGTGCATGTTTATACCATTTCTTATTTGTAATTAATGAAAAAACCATGTGGCTTGACCAATTACTGCACGCTTTCTGAAGTGCAAATTTTTTTTGCAAATTAATGCCTTTCTTGCTGAGTTATAGCTGTTCAAAGTCGTCCAGTGACATATGACTCACACTGTATATAAAAAAGAAGGGAAACCCAAATAACCTGCACAATATATAACATAATATACAAGTGGGTCATTTCTCGTCGAATCACCGGTTAATCACCGGGAATCACCGAAACGGTTGGCTCGACCAACTCGAATTTTGACGAAAACAGGCATACACCTAGAGGAACCGATATAAGAAACTAACTTCAACATTTTGTATCTCTTGCACAGATCTCCAGATAAATACAATTGAATCCATCCGTACAATGGTTGAATACTCAGGCGCTTTGTGATTTGTGCAGCCCACAGGCCTAAGGGTTTTTGCCTTTCCATGTCATTGGACAGGCACATATCGTATTTCGTGGAGCTGGTTAACCTGAATGCCTTCCCCTTTGCATGTCAAAGGCTAGGCGCATTTCGTGATTTGCCCATGCAGCTAGGAATTTTACGGGTTTCCATGGAAAATTAATTTGGACTTGTGCGAGAGTGAGGCTTTCATACAGGGGTGTTAAACTCAAAAATCGGACGGCAGGCCGCACCCATAATTTTCATATAAATTCAAAATTTCGTCCACTCAGTTTTCGCAATTCCAACTTTGGGAAGCACAAAAATGAAGTTTTGTCGATGGATGGTGAATGACTGCTGTCAGCAAGTGCCCAATTGTAAATCTTCGGACGTATAAACATTTCTTAGAAACGAACTTCAGAAGTGCGGAAAAAATTGTATTTACCTTTACAAAATATATTATTGATACAGCTCTCGTTAAAAAAAGGAGAGTTCCCTAGCCCACGTGGCAGGAGAACTCACTCATTTGGACCAAAACGGTTGACTCGATTCCCTCGTGCATGCATCGACGCGCACGCAGTCGCAACAGCAGTAGCACTGCGGTTGCGATGGTAGCGGAGGCGGCGGATGCGTCGTTTTGAAGATCGCACGCATGTCTTAGTAGATCGACCGAAATGCCACCGCCGCCGCCTCTCGCTGCTGCCGCTTGGAGGCAGGCGAGCGAATGGAGCCCGCTGTGTCTCCGCCACTGCTGCGGGTCGTCGACGATCCCTCTCTGCTCGAACGATGACAGCCTTGGTCTGGGTTAACCAGGGGACGTCATCGTCTAATTAACCTGTTCGCGGGCATGGACCCATATATGGGTTTTAAAATGTAGCGCTTTGACAGGCCTTCGCCTATATATTACTTTTGTCCTAGAGTCTGTCAGGAAGTGCTGCCACACCTTGGTGTGTGCAGCAACAGGTTACTGCGGCATTTAACCCATCGAAAGAGGTTGTATAGTTATTCAATGCGCACTGTATACACCTTGCGTCTGAGACTGTCCTTGTTCTGTTATGGTGTGCCCGATAAAAATGGACGCCGTTGCGGGAAAGAAACTGGCCCTTGAATGGGTTAAGCGGCTCTGAAACTTTTCACGCTGCGCCCTGGCTCGACGTCGTACTCCCCATCCCTCTAAAAGGAACACCTATACATGGAGACTTACCCGGAGGAGGCTTTTCTCATGCGATGATTGAACATGTATGAAACGCATTGCAAAGGTTCACGGACCGATTCGCAGCTAGGAATCGGATCATCACTCGCGTGAACAACGCTCACATTCTTCTGTGCCCACAGATGATGGATTCCGGACTGGAATGCAACACTGATGGCACAAATCTTATTTTCAACGAACTGACAGAGAAACGTCTTCGGAAATGTTGCTCTGCCCGGGGAACACAACTCTTTCGGTTTCTTTCAATATTTATCTCGAAGGAACGAATGCGCCGTAACAATACAACCTCTGAAGAACTGTAGCGCTCGTCGGCTTCGTTGCGCCGTTTTGCGAAGGCTTTCAAAGGATTAAGGGTGATGGAAGGAACAGCGAAAGAGCAGGTCATTCTGGAATTCTGGAATCTGCGAGACTGCGAATCTGGAATCTGCGAGCGAAAGACACCCACGAGAAAACGGCGGTTGATGGACTTCTTTGCAGAGCCCATATGCATGCAAGCGGCGAGGAACTGACGAATCGCCCCTTATTTCATCACAGACGCTTGAAATTCCCGGATTTCGCGGCAGCATTGGGTGGCACCTCAGTGAGCGATGCCAGCATACCCTTTCGAGTACCACGGCAACTCTCGTTTCCTCGTGCATCGGAAAGATGGCGAGACGAGAGCGAATCCCATATTTTCCAGGAAGTCGTCTCCCTCCGTTTCGCAAGGCCAATTTGCAAATGTGATGGCACAAAAGCACATCCTCAGATGATGAGGAAGACGCATGTTGAAACCCCTCGTTCATATCTAGAAGCGTTTGGCTCGTAAAGCCGCCTCACATGCGCAAACATGCAATTGACACTCTGCGTAGCTTGCAGTCGGGATCGCGCAAGCTAAATGTTTAACCTCAGGACCTCCGGTGCGTCGCGACCGAGGTCCTCCAGTTTTGAAAAACTTCGAGTTGAGGAATCTTTGTCTCTTTGTCTTCTTGGCTAACACGAGCAGCTAAAAGCAATAGCGCGAAATTTAGGTTTCGGGATCGTCCAACCACTTGGCATGACCGCATTTTTACGAACTCGATTGTTGAGGCTGAAAGATGGAGCTGTCAGATACAGGATTCTAATCAGACTAATTCTATTCATCTAATTTAATTTATTTAATTCATCTAATTCAGGATTCAGATTCAGACAATCTAATTCCAGCCCTACCTAGTGGTACGGCTGGAATTATTAATAGATTGTCTCCTTCGTGGCGACGATCATCGTGCGTGCCAGCGGCGGACGTGGGAGTCGAGTCATTTTGTTGCGTCGCGGTCGATGCCTCTCCCCTCCCGCGTCTCAGCGCTGTCTCATTTCGTCTCGCAGTCTTGGTGGTTGGCAGAGGGAATACTCGGTCCGATAAGGTCTCCTGCTCCATCACGCAACGACTGGGAAAGACGCTCTCGCGGTATCACCATGTTTTTCTTCCGTTCGGAGGGGAAGCAAGGTGGAGAATTGGCGCTCGATGAATTCCAGGAAAGCCTTCATTTGGATTTCCAGCGATTCTAAAATAATTATATTGCATTTCTTTCAGATGCATCCATCCCTTTGAGGA